AGTCTCTGCAGGTCCCGCGAGTGGAGAAAGGGAGGGGAGAGCGGCCCCGCAATCTCCTCCCAGTTTCCCCCCCCGACGGCCAGCGAGGGCAAGCGCCAGCTGGGAACGGATAGGTAGGACGAAGGGGACTGGCCGGGCCCAGCACCTGGAACCTGTCCCTACAAGTCGCCGCGCTGCCTGTACGCGTGAGGACCGACACCTTTGCGCCGCCCGCTTGGTGTGCCCTGGACTCTGCACGCAACCTCGCGCACACCCCAAACACACCCTGCCGCTTGCAGAGCTTCAGCCTTTGTGCGCAGCAGCCGAGCGCCCCCTCCTTGCCGGCCTCTTCCCGGGAGCGGTCGGCTCCAGGGGATTGGGATCTAACCGCCCACCGGCCCAGCTGGCGCCTTCCAGGCCCGGCAGCCCCTCGCCTGCCCCTCCCCCTACCTGCTGCCGCCGCGGCCGCTTCCACCTTCACTTGCCTTTGACTCAGGCCCGCCCAGGCTCCGGCTCCCCGCAGACCCGCCCCCGGCCCGCCTCAGCCCGCCCACGGGCCGGCAGCTCCCAGCAGATCCGCCCCGGACCCCCAGTAAACACGCCCCCCCTTTTACCCCGCCCCAGACTGCCGCTCAGGGAGGGGCTGTGCTGGGGGTGGGGTGGGGTGGGGAGACTCCAAGAAGAGCAAACTGCTGGATGCTTCCAGGCTCCCCTCGGGCTCCCCACAATATCCCCCCCGACCGCGAACTGGGCGGTGTGGGGTGTACGGGGATCGCTTAACCCTAAGAGGGATCCCTCGGCTGCCCTGGACTGCGCCCCCATCCATGACCTGGATCTGCCTGTCGCACTCTGGCTCCGTTTTTCGCCCCCAGACCCAGTGGTGGGGACGGGTGTGGGGAAGACGAACCCAGGGTACAGACACCCTATGACTTCGACTCCGCCCGCCCGGAAACAGAGAGCTAGGTTAAGGAAGCAGGAGGTGGGTGGGCATCGTAGCCAAAGAGGCGGGGGGTCTCGCCGGTTGGGAGGGGCAGGGGTGCCAGCACCGAGTAGGGGGCGACGTCTAGGGGCAGGAGTTCTGACTCCCTGGCGCCCAGGGTCCTGGTACCTCTCTTTGCTGCGTCCCGACGCCTGCTCTCCGGCTGCTTGGCGAGAAGTTGGACAACAAGGAGGGAGGGGGGCGGGGAATGTGGGGGGCCGCTATAAATAGAGGGCGATCACAGGAGGGGGGAGAGGATGGCCAACGGGGACTCCCGGGTCAAGGCCTCAAGGGGGGCGGGGGAGGGGCCGGGGACCCCCAGGGGCTCTGACTCCTGGGTAAACAGGCGCAGAGGCGGAGTTAACCCTGCGCGGGTGGAGTAGGGGCTTGGGGAGGACACTGTGTCCCGGGCTGGGACCCAAGAGACCCTGTGGCTTCGGGCGCTAACCCCTCCCAGTCCGGCCAAGAAACGGAGGGAGAGACCAGCTCAGACCGGCTGAATAGCAATGCCAAGGCGATGGTCTCAGGGACTGCCCCGTCTTTCCCTGTTCCTGAGTGGGTTTACTATCCTAGACTTCACACACACGCACACATACACACCAGATGCACCCTCCCCGTGCCCCTCAGAAGAAGGCTCCTTGGAACTCGATAGTTGATGTGGCTAAGGGAATTTGAAGTTGCCTTAAGCAAAAGGAAACCAGATTGAATTTCTCCCCACCTGCCCCCCCTTCTTGCTCCCCCAATCCCAGGATCATCCCCACCCCATCCCCCTTCAGCCTGGTTCCTGAGTTGCCATTTCGGGGGCTGGGCACCAGGCCAGTTGGGAACAATGGCCAATGGAACTTGAGCTGCCAACTGCAACACTAGTACAAACTGCCCCCCCAAGACCCCCAAATTGCCCTCCCCGCTCTTGCCTGGGAACCACCCTCCCACCACCACCCTCACCACCCGCAACCCCCCTCCCATCCAAGGAGCATCAATGCCCCTTTCATCCCCACTTGGCAGGGTCTGTTGGAAAGAAGGAGAGGCCAAGAGGGAGGTGGTGACCCAGAGTAGGAGAACTGGTCAGGCTCAAACCCAGCCTTCAACAACCCCAAATGTAAGGGCTCCCCCTCCATCCCCCAATCTGGAGCACCCAAGTTTTCTTCTGTTCCCTTCTCCCACTCCCTTCATAACTTTTCCCCCAGAAACTGGCGCAGAAGCTGGACACCCTGGCTCCTTGCCTAGTCTCCTCTTCCCTCTGGATGCCAGTTTAACACTCTCTCGGACAGGGGAAAGCCTGCTAGAATTAGGGTCATAGCTAAAGATGCATTGGACAGGAGAGAGAGATCTCACCAGCTCTAGTGTAATTTAGGGAGAAAGAGACCCTAGAGTGAGAACCTTTGCCTTCAGAACTTTTTGCTTCTCTGATATGTCTAAAGTAGTCTTACTTGGAGTGGGGGAGGGAAGGACCCGAAGGTTCCAGCATCTAAATTCGTCTCTGGGTCAGGATGACTCAGGGGGAACCTGATAAGGGGCCTGCGCAGGGGCATGGGGCGGGCAGGAGGTGGGAAATTTCCACTGAGATCTGTTTGCTTCCTAGACCAGGGGTCCCACCCAGCCTGCTGCAGGCAGAAGTAAGGCTTGTTCTGCCCAAAGATAGGGTTCTTCCATGTCAGAGGAGATCCCAGCTGGACCTGGATTTAAGTGTTCCAACAAGGACAATCTTTCTCTCTAACTTCCTTCTCTTGGGCCAGAAGAGGCTTCAAACTATACCTTCAACTAAGCAACAGTTTTAGGAACCTAATATGTGCAAGCCATTGTGCAGATGGAATTCAAAGAAGTGTGAAGTCAGGTCATATACTCTCTAGAAGTTTATGATCAAGTCGTCTAGAGAAGGTATAAGCACAGAAAAAGTTAAGAAAAAATATGTATATATAAGATTAATTGCTTAGATAGTAAGTCTTGTAGCAGTAGTTTCCCACCCTTCTCAAGTGGGAAATCTGAGATTTCCATTCCCACATGATGGTTTTCGTATTCTCTGATGGAGAAAATACAAGGTATGAATGCAACAAGAGCTTCGAATATGTTTCTGTTATGTATTCTGATAACCACAACATCTGTAAATGAAGGAATGCCATAATATGCAAGGCATATTATTTATTCAATTTACACTCACTCTTCTGTATACATACAGATTCCAGGGTCCCTAGCAATACTTCAGAAGTCCTCACCACATGAGGCTGCAACCCACAGTCCAGAAACCATTATATTATGATAATTCAGAGAAAGGAAAGGGTTTTGTTCCTAGGGTGAACGACCCAGACAAGAAGTGAAACCATGGAATATTTGAGTGATAGAGAGGGGCATTCTATCCAGGCAAAGAAAGAACACCAGGGACAGTTTGGAAGCAAAAATACATAAGTCACTTTGGAGAATTGAATAGTAGCTACTATGTGCAAGGTACTTCCCATAACATTATCCCCCACTACTGTAAGGAAAAGTGGTATTGTTCTCACTTTACAGATGAGGAAACTGAAACTCAAAGATGTTTAGTGATTTGCCCAAAGCCACCCATCTAGTAAATGATGTTTCTAGGATTCAGATCCCTACCCAGATCCACTCCACTCCAAGGACTATGCTCTTTCCATTACCAGGTAGCCTCTCAAGTGTATAGCAATTAGCCATTATGGCCCCAGTTGAAAGATAACATTGATGAGAGGTGGATGATATTTGGTAAGGTAGATTGGGGCCATGTTGTGCAGGTCCTTGAATGCTAGGCAAAAAGATTTGGCAATGAGGAGTCATAGTATATTCCTGAGCCATAGAATATTCTTAAGCAAGAGTAATAGATAGAAAATATTGTTTGGGGACAATTAATCTGATGAGGAGGGTGTAATAGAGATGGCTACGGGTAGGTGGGAGCAAAACATTAGACTTAGGAAAGAGATCATTTGGAAGCCAAAGTAGTCATCCAGATAGGACATGATAAGGACTTGAATAAGGGTGAAGTACTAGAAATGTAAAGAAAGGAATGGATTTGTAAGACAACGGAAAAAACATTTGTAGGAACTAGTGACTGATTATTAGATGGGAAGAAGAGGAATGTCACCAATCTAGTTGCTCTGTTAGGATCCCCGAAGTTCATCTGTCTATAGGGCTTCTGGCCAGAGAAAAGGCCAAAGAGAAGAACCCCTGAGAAACATCTTTGACCTGCACAGAAACTTAGATTTTCAGAGTCTGAAACTCATCCTCACTCTGGACCAGTTTACCCTGCTCTGCCCAGCTCTCTTACACTCCAAGGCTTGTGCTCTTTCCCTATTGGACCAAATACTGGAAGTCATTTGAAGTTTCTATTGGGGTTGCTCTGTTAAAGCCAGTGAGATTCTCCATGGTGGTCACTACACCTGAGCCTGGAGACTAGAAAGGATGCCAACCTGTTTTCATTAATTGCTTCTGCTATGATCTTAATGTTTATGTCCCCCCAAAATTCATATATTAAAATCCTAACTCCCAAGGTGATAGTATTGGGAGGTGGGGCCTTTTGGGAATTGATTAGGTTTCATGAGGGCAGAGCCATGATGCATGGGATTAGTGCCCTTATAAATAGGCTCAAGGGAGCTTGTTCACCTCCTCCAGGTGAGGACACAGCAAGAAGGCACCACCCATGGACCAGAAAGCAGCCCTCACCAGACACTGAATGTACCAGCACCTTGATCTTAGACTTTCCAGCCTCTAAAACTGTAAGAAATAATTTTCTGTTGTTTATAAGCCACCTAGTTTATGTTATTTTGTTATATAGCCCGAATGGGCTAAAAAACCTTCCCTGGGCTTGCCTCAGCTTTTGTTGCATGGCAGAGCAGACGGCAATTTGACTAGGACCCAGAGGACTGCTAAGCTGAGCTGAAATGATGGAAGTTTGGTCATCTGAAAAGGTTGGAAGGTTGGCAGCTTGCTCTATTCACCATGCAAGATAGGGAGACCATAAGCCCCTGCCCCAAAGACAGAGGCTGTAGCTGGGGCCAGAAGTGACGTCACATAAATGCTGCTGAAGTCATAGAAGCTTGCCTATCCTCCCCTCTGTCTCCTCATTGCCACCTAGTCTCCCCAGCCAGCTGGCTCCCGCACGTATCTGCACACACTTACATACAAAGGCTGGGAAGGGTCAGACACCATCTGGGCACTCTTAGGTACATAAAAGTGTGTGAGGAAAAGGGGGGATTATTCAGTGTATAGGAGCCACCCCGGTGTCCCCAGTGCTGGGAAGGGGAGACTCTGTGTTGTGGTTGTGGGAGGTGGGATGGGGGTAAGGGGGAGAGGGGAGGGAGCAGCAGGGATGAGGGAAATTATTTCTGTCGCTGACTGATTTAATCCTAACCCTCATCCTCATTACTTGTCAGTCCTCCCTTTCCCTCCCCCCTCCCCCCACTGCCCTCCCCCACCTCTAGCTGACCATGGCATCTGAAGCAGAGAAGACATTCCAGCGGTTTGCTGCCTTTGGAGAATCGTCAAGCAGTGGCGCTGAAATGAACAACAAGAACTTCTCCAAGCTATGCAAAGACTGTGGCATCATGGATGGCAAGTTGGTCACCTCCACGGATGTGGACATTGTATTCAGCAAAGTCAAGTGAGAAATAACAGATACGGGGATGGGGGTGAGGAGAACAAGCAAGGTAGCTGGCCATGGAAGGGGTCATGTGGTTCACAGGCAGAACATTTGCCATGGCCCTCCAAGCACTTACAAGCTACCTGGCACTGTGCTGTTCTCTGTCCCCAAGACGCACAGTGATGGGTCAAAAGAGGCCGCACCTAAGTAAGGGAAGGGTTGGGCCTTGGAAGGTAATGAGTTCATGCTCCAAGATTCCTGGATTTCTGTCTGACTGACCAGGGCCAAGAATGCCCGGACCATAACATTTCAGCAGTTCAAAGAGGCAATGAAGGAACTGGGCCAGAAGCGGTTCAAAGGGAAGAGTGAAGGCGAAGCCCTGGAGGACATTTATAAACTCATGGAGGGCAAGGACCCAGCCACCACCGGCGTTACTGTGAGTGATAGTCTTCACCTCTACCCCTTAACCCTATGTCCCTGAATCCCTGCTGTTCCAGTCTCCCCTCCTGCCCACCAGGGTCCCTAACCCTGCCAACAGTTGTGACTGTAGGGACACAGGGCAGAAAGCATGTGGTGCACTGTTGGTGTGGGAAACAGACTTTAGAGATCATCTAGTCATTTCAGAGGTAAGGAAACTGTGACCCAGAGAGGGGAAGTGACTTGCCCAAAGTCCATAGCCATTTTATTTATTTATTTATTGGAGGCAGAGTCTTACTCTGTCGCCCTGGGTACAGTGCTGTAGCATCATCATAGCTCACTGCGACTTCATACTCCTGGGCTTAAGCGCTCCTCCTGTCTCAGCCTCCCAGGTAGCTGGGACTACAGGCATGTGCCACCATGCCAGGCTAATTTTTCTATTTTTTATAGAGACAGGGTCTTGCTCTTGCTCAAACTGATCTCGAACTCTTGACTCCAAGTGGTCCTCCCACCTCAGCCTCCCAGAGTGCTAGGATTACAGGCGTGGCCCACCAAGCCAGGCCTCATAGCCATTTTAATAGTAGATTCAGTCTCATTCTCAAGTCTCCAGTATCTGAGTCAGGCAACTAGGGCTTGGTGGCTTTTGGAGGACTTTAGTGTAGAGGACTTGGTACCTGATCCCCACTCCTCTTCCTGCTTTTATTTAAAGTTTAATATCAGGCCTCCTGCCTCTCACCCTCCCATTTCCTTTATTATCTTATTTGTGCTAAAAGCTCTTTCTACTCTCATGTTGGGTCTGGGGCAAAGTCCTCTCACAGCACCCTGGTCAGAATAACTCTTCTGGAAATAGAAAAATCCACCGTCCCTCGGCACACGCTGCACACACTCCCACCCCAGACTCCTCTTCCCTTGTGAGTGGATGGCTCTTGCCAGAGCTCCAGCCCACGGCTGCATCTGGGCAGTCCCATGCCAGAGGCAGAGCAAGAGCTCCACACGCTTGTTCCAAATATCTCGGGCCATCTCTGGGGAAGGGCTGTGGCTGTGCAGGGGGACGAAGAGGGCTCAATACCATTATCTGGCTTGTAGAAAGCAACAACAGTGGGTGGAGTGGACCGTCTGACGGACACCAGCAAGTACACCGGCAGCCACAAGGAGCGCTTTGATGAGAGTGGCAAGGGCAAGGGCATCGCAGGACGGGAAGAGACAACTGAAAAGTCAGGCTACGTGAGCGGCTACAAGGGTGCTGGCACCTATGATAAGAAGAAGTAACGAGCAGCCTCGTCTTAGCCTAGTAGCCCCCTGACCCTGCATCTTTAACACCAGGGAGCTGGGGAAACAATAAACATCTGTGTGTGCAGCAACTAATGAGCCCGCTGGTGCAGACAGAGGGAGAAGAGGCAATCTAGGGAGTCAGGGTCTTCAGCCTTTACTCCGCCGTGCCTCATGCCTGCCAGCCATAAGTTAGCATTGCCCTCAGTAAGAAAAGGACTCAAGGGTATATTTGGCATTAAGAGATGAACCAGATGTGAAGGCAAAAGTATTACTGGTATCCACCCCATCCTCCACCTCCCAAAAGGGAATAGCAACTCCTGATTTGATGTCTATTGACCCAGATGCCACTTTTTAGATCCTTCCCTGTCCCTCCACCTTCCCTATATGTGGCAATCCAGGTTTTGTTGGGAGAGAAGTGGAAGCCACTAGGGTGGCCTGAATCCTATTACCAGTTCGTTTTAAAGCTGGAGGAAGGGAGAATGCCTGTTCAACATCCAGCCCCAAACTGAGTTTGACCCACCTCACCTCCAGCATGGTACACACGGAACAGCAGCTCTTCCTGACCGCCACAGGCAACCCAGGAAGACGGCCAGAGGTGGGTGGCTACCAGGACTCCAAGAGCAGGAGTTTCGGTGCATAGAGTAAAAGGAGTTAGATCAGAGTGGAATCAGATGTGTGTTTTTAACTTTTTATTTTGAAATGAATGCAGATTCACAGGAGGTTACAAAAAATAATACAGAGAGGTCTCTTGTGCCCTTCACTCAGTTTCCCCCAATGGTTATATCTCATGTAATTCAGTTATGGTTTCGAAACTTTACATGACTATCAGTGTCTAGAGGGTCCCCGAGCCCCCCCCCCAAAAAAAACTTTACATGACCAGAGTGGGGCTGCCGCATCCCCTGCCTGGTGGTCAAGGGCAGACCCTGGAGTCTGGGGGTTTAGGAGGATCTACTGGAAGAGAGGGGAAGCAGGAAATTTTAGGGGATGGAAGGGAGAAGATACCTTGAAATTCAAGTAAGCCAAGGTGAGAAGGAGGGCAGGAAAAGAGGTTGGAAAAAGGAAGGCAGGGTGACTAAAGGCTGTGGGACAGAGACAGCACTGGGTTCCATGGTAGGAGGAGGGAGGGAAGGATAGTTACATGAAGGGAGAATCTATGATTTCACAGAGTGGAGCAGGCTGGGAGCTGAGGATTCTGTGGGGAAATGAAGCCAAAGTGAGTCTAAGGGCCTCAGGGAGCTTCCTGCAGCTAGAGACACCCACTGTGGGGGGGAGGGAGGAGTGGAGGGCATTATGAGGGAAATGGGGAAGACAGAGCCAAGAAGGATGGTGGGGATGGGAGTGAGACATAGGGCTGGTGCCTGTTGCCATGGTGTGAGCTGAGGCCCTGGGCCTCCATCCAGGATTTAGGATCTGGCCCAGTGGTGGACAGTCACTGCCAAGTGGACACAGTCAGCTTCTTGGGTGGGTTTTACTGTCTCTGGGAGAGGGAGGATGGGGGTGGGGATGGTAAACAAGTTGGAAAGAGCCTAGAAGACAGTAAAACTTTGCATAGTGATCAAAGCCCTGGATGTTTTCGAACCTACCTGGTCTCTTGGGAGGGGACCTTGCCTGCTTCAGAGTCAGGAAGGAAGTCTTGTTGCAGGAATCAGAGTTTGGGAAATGGGGACAGTCTGGTCTATGGTGGTAAAGGTGGGGGCGGGGGGTGCTCAGGAATTAAATCCCCTAGAACAAACCAATGATACCTATTGGTTCAGCGTCATACTTGCCGGAGCAGAGCAGGTAGAGCTTTTGGTTGGTTGAGGTGCCATTGTAGCGGCAGCTAGTGGGTGGCTGTTTGACATCCAGGTAGCAGATGGTGAGGGCAAAGCTTTCCTGAGTGAGTGTGCAGTATTCATTGTAGTTCTCACAGAAGCTGTCACTATGCTTGCAGAACTTCCTGATGTCTTCCCAAGCGGCATGTATCACGTAGTGCATCCTTGGGCAATGCCAGTGTTGCATCCTGCCCCGCACATAGGACATCAGACCATTACAGTAGCCCTGGAAACTCTCTGGATAGCTAACCTTGGGAAAGTCCACATGTAAATTGCGGAAGTTCTTGATAGCCATCTGCAGCTTGATATCCATGACCAGAGTTGGTCCCAAAACAAGCTGAAGGAAAAGGAGCTGGGCCACAGCTGGTGCCATTCCCCCTGCTGGTAGAGTTAAGGTGGTTGGAGATAGGGATGGGCTTAGAGTGGCTGTCTGCCCCTTCCAGAACCTCTAGCATTCCCCAACATTCCCTATGTGTCTTCCCTTCCCTCTAAGAACTGAACAGTACCTCAGAGATCACCCCACCCAAGTCTTCATGACCCAGAAAGATGTGATACTTGCCCAGGGCCAACAGCTGACCAACCCCCTGCAGCCCTCCCTCCACTCCCTTGGTCTACCACAGGGTTTCAGCCTCCCCCAGTCCATAAGCTACAATACTTGCAGAATAAGAGCTCACTGGTCCTTGGGTGAGAGGTTTTTTCCAATTATCCTTGGCTCCGGCACCTTTTCTGGTAAACAATTCAGAGAGGATAGAAGGAACAGGCTGGCTTGATAATTCTCCAAAAGCTGGAAGGATAAAAGCTGAAGACAGCTGAGCTAGGTGGGCTCAGGGATTCTTCTTGCCTGAGGCCAAGGACAGCCCAGAGGTAAGAAGAAGGTAGAAAGGTTTCTGGGTGAAGACCAGTCTGGGAGGAGGGGGTGTCCCCTGAGTTTGAGGACCCGCTGTGCCGAGGGGGTCGGATGGGTGGGAGGAAAGACATTGCTATCTGGTCTTCTCCTCTCTGGTGTCATTAGTACACTTAGTTCCAACCTCCTTGCCAGAAGTCTCTCAGTTCCTGGGCTGTCTTTGATGTTTTCTCTGGCCCATAACCTCTGCTCCTGTGGCAAGGTGAGAAGGAAAGGACTGTCATGTTTCTGAGGAACAAAGTGCTTCTCATTCTTGACCCTCGGAGAACAGAGTGTCCACCATTCTCATCCCACACACGGGAGCCCAGGAGGTCATGTGCATAAGGGCCTCCCGCCCAAGTGCTGGCCTGAGAATCAAAGACCTCCACGTGGATGCCCCACAGTCCCGTCATCAGCCTCACTCCTCCCACACTGACACCCTCACCTGTGACCTCAGGCCTTGTCAGAGTCCAAGCATTCCTGGAAATCTATGCATGCAGACTCTGAAGTTTCCAATTTGGCAGGTTGGATTCAACAGCATAACCTAGACTTGAGGGAATGTGGACCCAAGAGCCTGGCCTGATCAGATTGGGGCCCAGCTCCTAACTCTCTTTTTTATCAACATCTGCCCCTTCATCAGAACCCTGGAGCTCGCTCCCTGGCGCCAGCCAGCCCTAGCCTTTGACTTCCACAGGCCTCTCAGCCTTATCTCCCTGCAAGGTGTTTTCCAGATTTGGGGCTTCCTCTTAGGAGAGGCTGTTCACCCTTGCCCTGGAGGGCAGGAGAGGGGAGTTAGGACGCACAGAGCTGAGTGCTGTAAGGCCCACAGTATGGCTCAGAAGGAGGAAGGGATGAGGCTACAGAGAGACATATTGGTGTTCTTCATTCTAGACTGGCACTTTCTGACAGCACAAACTAGAGTCCCAAACGGAATCCATCTTCCCTATGATTTGCTTCTCTTCCTGTGTTATCTATCTCAGTTTCCTCATTGACCTGTGCAAGAAACCTGAGAGTGACCCTAGACCCCTCTGCCCCCCTCACCCCAACTACTGGGAGGTCTTCCTACGTGGTGGTTAAGATCAAGACTCTTGAATGAAACAGACCAGGAATTGAACCCTGGCTCTGCAGCTTACATGCCGCCTATTACCAGTCTAAGTTTCCTAAACCACTATGCTTCCATTTCTTCATCTGTTTATGAGGATAGTATTTTATATCTCATAGTGGTATAAGGATTCATTAAGAGGTATATCAAGAGCTTGCAGCGCAGTACCTGGCACATGGTGAGTACTCAGTATGAGCCTGAGTCAGGCCATCATGCAGCCCTGACAGTCTTATCTAAAACTTTTCCCAAGCCTGTCCCTCCCATTCCTTCTCCTGCTCAGGCTCTCCTGTCTCCTGAACATCTCATTCTCTGCAACTCCAGTGAGGCCTAAATCAAATATATCTTTTACACAGCCACCAGAGAAAAAAATAGTCCCTTCTTTTGTCGAAAACTCTGCAGTAGCTTCTTATAGTCCGAACTATGTCTCAGAGGACATAAGACCTTCCATGATCTTGCTCCTGCCCATGTCTGCAGCTGCATCTGCCTCCCTGCCCCTACTCTGTGCCCTTGCTCCGCTGGCTCTTCTACCTGGAATGCTGCTGCTCCCCCCTCCTTTCCCTCCTACCATGTCAATTCCACGGAGCTAACTCATATGAAGGCTCAACTCAGAGGTCCAGCTTAAGAAGCCCCTGTTTGGCAGACCTCCTCAGGGAAGTATGCACAGTCAAACAAGTGTGGATAGAGCCCACACAGGCAGGTGGCTCATCTGCATCCTTCAGCCTGCTCAACAAGACACCACTGAGTGGGCGTCCATGCAGGGTGGTGCCTGAGCCTGGCTGACTCAAGTCTTTGCTTTGAGCAAGCCAGCCACATTGTATACCCAGCCCTAAATCATGCCGCCTCCTCCCTGGTCCTTCAAGGCTGCAGCTTCCCTGAGAAGAGAAAGGGCCTTTTGATGCTTCCTTCATTCCCCACCCACCCATCATCACTCTCCACTCCCCCACCCACCACCACTTACGGAAACTGAACAGGACATCAGGAGAGGAAAGAGTTCAAGACTTAATATTAATTGACCTACTAAGCTTCTGTTTCCTCTTCTATAAAATGGGATAATACTTTCCTTACCTCATAAGGCTATAAGAATAAAATGAGACAGCAAGCATGCAAGTGCTTTTTAATCATTAAATAATATATAAATGGATGACCAGATATAGCCTTCAAGGTTTTACACTAAGTCACTTTTGAAATCTGCAAAGCCTTTTATTCTCTAAGTAAGTCTTGTGACAGCACCCCCTTCCACCCCCTCCCCCATGCCTGCTCTTCCAATCTAGAGCCCCCTCTAACTCCTGGCTTAGAAATCATCTCCATGAAGGTTTCTATGATTACTTTAAAATAATTTTTTTTTAAATTATTGTCAGATAGTATCTGGAAAGCTCTAGGGGCCAGGCACAGTGGCTCACATCTATAATCCAGCTACTTGGGAGACTGAGGCAGGAGGATTGCTTGAGCCCAGGAGTTTGAGGTTGCAGTGAGCTATGATGATGCCACAGTACTCTAGCCCTGGTCAACAGAATAAGACTTTGTCTCAAAAAAAAAAAGAAAAAAGAAAAAGAAAGAAAAGCACTAGGACAAATGTCATGGAAAATATACAGGTAAATAAGACTGTTCCAGTCCAGATTAAATTTATAATTCCATAGGAAAGGCACACATATAAACATACGTAACCAAGGTGTAAGTACAGGGCCCAGAAACATGGTGAGAAGGGACTGAGTGTCGGGCCTTCGTGTTCCCAACTGCAGTCCTGGTGGTCTGTTCTCCAAAATCCTGCCCTAGAGGTGCTAAGGATTGCTCCATGCACTGTGACATCCTCATCATGGTTTCATGAGCTCCCTAAGCCTGAGATTTGTGGGGTTATTCCTCCATTGCACAGGATTTTATTTATATAAGAATTACCCTAGATATGAAAAAATTAAGTTTAGAGGGATAATAGCTTGTTCAAGGTCATGTGTCTAATTCAGTGATTCTCAGCCAGGGGCAATTTGGAGACATTATTGGTTGTCTGTCACAACTGGGAGTTGCTACTGACCTAAGGCCAGGGATATTGCTAAACATCCTACATCCTATATTTCATAGGACAGTTCCTAAAACAAAGCATTATCCAGGCCAAGATGTAAATAGCACTGAGGTTGAGAAGCCCTGGTCTAAATGATGAGATTATCAAACTTCCTAAAAAGAGCAGACTGACTTGTACTTTATGAACTAAAAAGAATTAGTAAACATTTAAGGCTTAGAAATATTTTTGTTAAACATATTTTAATTGTAATGGTGCTGGTTCTTCTACCAGCAAAAGGAGTATTCATAGTTCACCACTGCAATGATAAATTTGAGTTATTTTTCCTGTAAAGATGACCCTCTGCATGCAAACATCTACACGTTCTCTCCCTTCCCTCCCCAAGGAGGGAAGCATTTGTAGAACAGCTGGCTAGGGTGGCAGGTGCAGGAGTGACTCCATGTGACTGAAGAGAACCCTAGATTTTACCCTGAGTGGGCTCACCATGCTCCCAATGGCATTACTTTTTGCCCTGTCCACTTCAAGATGCTCAAACGGTAGACTGTTTCATGGACAGTGTCTGGGTTATCCTTGAACCCAAAGGATTGCTTCAGCCATCTCAACCTTCAACCCCAGGGCTAAAGTCGGGAGCTGCATTGTCAGCAGTCAGCTCGATCTGATGACCCTCTCTGCGGTCTGGTGGTGATCCTACTTGGGACTGGGATCATTCAGGAGCAGAGTGAATATCTTCTAAAAGTTGAATCAGTTAGGGTCATGTGCAAGGCACTATGCTCTGTCCTACGAGACATGCAAAAGGAGTATAACAGGTGGGCCTAGTCTTCTGGGAATGGACAGTCTAAGTTGGAGAAAAACAATAAATATATATGAAGAAATGACCAATGATTCAAGGCAGAAAAGTATACTTCTTGAAGACAGTAAATGCTGTAGGAATTTAGAGGTGAGAAAGAGGTCTCTGAGTTGGGAGGGTAGAAAAAGTTTTCTGGGGGTCACCTGGGGCCTTGGGATGGATCTCTAGGGGTAATTAGAAGTTCAGTAGAGATAAAAAAGGATTGTGCAAGATATGTTTGACAAATGGGAGAAAACCAGTCTAGCTAGGCACTCAGTGGGAGAGAAGTCAGAGATGAAGTTAGAAAGACAGGTTTGCCTGATTGTGGCAGACCCTGACTATCAGGCAAAGGAAGTTATCTTTGTTGTGTACATAAAGGGGGAGTTGGCAAGAGCTCACTCCCATACCAGGTCCCTCTCTCCTGCATGCTGGCTTGTCTAAAGGCATTGGTGTGGGAGCCACGGACCCCACCCTTCTGTCAGTGTGGCCTCCTCCAGACCCACAGCTGTTCCAGGAAAGGTCATGGGAATTCAGAGACCTGAAGCCAGTTCCACATCTAACCCCAACTTGCTGCATGTTTCACTTTCTCAGTCAACAAAAAATGAGCCCATTACCTTTATTTATCCAAGAATCAACAAAATTAGGATACCAGAACTTGGATCTGCTCCTGCTTGGAACGAAACTCTCCTGGGCTTCCCATTGGTATCCAGAGGCCGTGTGGAACTCCGGAAGAGAGAGGGAGAGGCTCGGCTCTGAAGGGTGGGCACTAATCCAGGCCCGGCCCGCCTCCCTTTCCAACCCCCTCCTTCCCTCCCTCCCAACACAGGCCAGAGGAAGCAGCAGCTGTTGTCCTGTGGGGAAGACAGGCAGAAGTCCACCTGGCACTGTTGGGATTTTCACAACACCCGCCCCAACTTGAACACACACACACACACACACACACACACACACACACAACAGCAGCCTGGGGAGAGGTTGGGCCAGCAGCAGTGACTATGGCAATAGAATGAGAAGGAGGCTGGAATAGGGGTTGCTGGTGTGAGAGGCTTTCTTCCCTCCCTCCTTCTCGCCCACCATTTGGTCTTCTGCTAAGTTTCTCTTTTTCCTTCTGCAAGACTCCCTGACCAGTCCTTGGCCTGATGCCTAGCTCCTTTTGTTCTCCCTAACCTTGTCCCCCTTCCTCCATCTTTTCCTGTTGCCCCATGAATGCAGTGAAGGCAAAATAGCAAAATTATCCTGCGAAGTGCAAAGTGAAGCAGATCTTGGAAGCTGGATTGTTTAAGCAAACAAACAAAATCACCTGCCTTATCCAAATAATTGAGTCAGAGCAAAGGTTTCAGCTTAAATTGTACAGATGGTAGGTTCAACTCTTCTACTTCAATTTTCATATGCCAGCTTAAACCTTTATTCTCTTTTCCCTTTGACTTGATAGAATAGGACCATGTTTACTTCACTTTCACATGGTACTAAGGCAGCCTTCTGGATAGCCCAGCATAATGGAGGTGAAGAGCAAACTGGGATAATTGTAATGACAGGAAAATGCAAGAGCAGAGGGCAGTTCAAATCGTGGTTTGGAAACATCTCACTCTAGGATAATGGGAAGTGGAAGGGGAACTGGGCTTGGAATTCAAATGAGCTTGCAGCCTCCCACCCAGCCTCCACTCCCAGGGTTAGACTGGCCCGTGTCGGCAGGCGTTGGATCCACAGGCTGCTTTAAAGCGTGGATATCTCCTAACATTTGTGTTTCTACGGCAGCAGGGGCATGATACTCTACCCAGAAGTTTAGTTTGCAAAGATTCAGGCACCTTAACAAAGACGTGAACTGACGTCCCCACAGCCAAGACCTTGGCTGAGGGGAAACCAGAAAGAAGAGCCACAGGCCCGTGTGAACTTGTCCTTGACTCTCTTTTGCCATCTAGTGGCATTCCCCATCTCCAACACCACTTGGACCCTTCATCCTGACCCACAGCTGTGCTCTCCATCTACTAAAATTATGTCCCCCTGTCCTCAAGACAAATGCCCATCTTCCTCACTCGAAATCCTAACTTCTGGACCAGAACATAAACCTTATGATCAAGGTGGTGGTTTATGTGACCTCTCTACAATTATAATCCACACAACAGACAGGCTCTTTACTGCTCTGCTTAAAACCCTCCCAGGGCTCCCCATTGCTGCTGGAGCCTGGAGTAAAGTCAGAGCCCTTCTAATGGTCTCTAAGGCTTCCCAGGACCTTCCCTCTGGTCCCCCTCTGGACCCCTGCTCGCCTGCTTCAGCCACTTCACACCTTCCAGTTCCCCCACCACCATAGACATCGTCTGTTCTAGGGCTTTTTTTTTTTTTCAGCATATTACAGGAGTACAAATGTTTAGGTTATGGATATTATTCTAGAGCTTTCGCAGTGCTGTTCTGTCTATCTGGAACATTCTTCCTCCAGACAAACACAAGTTCACTCTCTAATCTTCAACTCTCTGTCCCAGAGTCACCTACTTCAAATGACCCTACATAGAAATCACTGCCGTCCACCCCCAATCCTGTTCTCCTTTTATCCATAGCAATTATCACTTTGAGCAAAATATGCATTTATTTTTTTACTGACTTTCCACAATGGAATGTAAGCTCCACAAAGGTAGGGATTTTTGTCTCTTTTGTTCACTGATATATCCCAAGTACCTTGGCACCTAGTAGGTACTCAATAAATTGTTGTTAACGACATGAATGAAGCACAGTTACTACTTACAGGTAAATTCTGAAAACAAAAATACTATTCATCTCAGTTTTCCTAGCCTTCCCACCCACAAGCAGCAGTGTTTCTCTGCCTCAGCATGTCGGTTCTCCTGAGCGTCACTTTCCAAGCCCACGGGAGCCCCAGAGCAGCCCTGACCCTGACTTTCCACACAGCTGTTACCACCACAAGGAATAGGACATACAAGGTGAAGGGAGGGTTAAGGCAGGGAGTTGGAAGAAACACCAACACCTTTTTCAAACACAAACATTGGGACAGTGTTTAAGTCTTGCAACTTTCAATAAATAAGGGAGGGAAAGAATAAAATTGAGAGATGTTGGGTGCCTTCTCTAGGTAAAGCCAGATGGCCTTGATTGGCACCCGGAACTGGAGAGCTGTAGAGGAATGACTTCTTGCGGATTAACTGAGCTGTTGGAGATGTTGATGGACATCTTGGCGGTACTGAGTTATCCACTTCCCTTGTCTCTTCTATCTCCTCCGAAAGATAAGCAGTATCTCCTGAAGACAAGGAACCCTACAAGGCAACTTTCTAGGCTATTCTATCTGTACCTCAGATCAGAGAAAAAGCAATCCTTAACACAACAGTGATTGGCTCTTCCCAGGATCATGGACCAGAGGTGTATATAGGAGATAAATGACAACTCTCCCTGAAATTGATTTGGGTTGACACCTAGATCAGGTGCTTTATTAAAGAGTCGTTTATTAAAGAGTCATTGGTCCCATGTGGTCAGGGGCCAAATATAGGCTTTGAATGCAAGAATCCAACCTTCCGCATTGCTGAACACATCTAGACAGGTACAGGTATCCATAGGTATCCACTTATCTGGGACATGTAAGTGGAGAGGCATGCACCTGATTCACTCCTGATCCAGGAATTGCTGCCGGGCCCGCCCCCAAACAGCAGCAGCATCACCCGGGCCGGCTATTAAAGCCGTAGGCAGTGAGAGGAGGCCCTCAGACGTCTGAGAGCTCAGCAGTGCGTGGACACAGCCTCAGCCCACTGAGCAGGAGTCACAGCACGAGGACTAAGTGAAGAGGCGCAGCTGCAGCAGGACCCAGTGAGGAGAGAGGACATAGAAGGAGGGATTGGTTCTGACCAGGTAAGAGTACCCTCAGGTGAGTGATAAGATAAATAAGGAAGGGACTCGACTTGGGGGAGATAGAGACTCGACTTGGGTGAGTTGAGAACTCACACGGGGAAGAGGGGAGAATGATATTTGGGGTAGAGGCATAAAATAGAAAAGAATGGGGACACAGAGGAGATAGGATTGGGGATGTGGAGGGGATGAGACATAGACATAGGGACATGGGGCCACAATGGGGAGGGGACTTGAGGGAGAAGAGATCAAACAAAGAGCAGGAGGCAACAGGGACAGAATGAAGGGAGTCAGGCTACAAGGCCAGGGCCATGGGGCCACAGTGGATGCGCACACATAGGAGAGGAAGAGATGAGACACAGAAAGGGCAGGGAGATGGGTGACCCACTAGAATGATCAAGTATAGGAAAGCTGACTTCTCAACTGAACACCTCCTACTCTCTGTCCCAGTGACCCCAGCCCTCCATTCTGACTGCTCCCCCCAGAGAGATGGCACTAGACAGAGCAGAATTCTGCTCACTGCTGCTGCTCCTACTGCTGGGGCTGTGGGTGGCCGAGACCCCAGTCAGTGCCAAGCCCAGCCACATGACTCCATCTCAGTGGTTTAAAACTCAGCATGTGCAGCCCAAACCTCAAGCATGCAAGTCAGCAATGCGCAATATCAACAAATACAAAAAACATTGCAAAAACCTCAACACCTTCCTGCATGAATCCTTCTCCAATGTGGCGACCACCTGCCAGAGCCCCAATATAGCCTGCAAGAATAAGAACCATAACAACTGCCACCAGAGTCATGGGCCCGTGTCCCTGACGCTATGTGAACTCACCTCAGGGAAGTACCCGAACTGCAGGTACAAAGAGAAGCATCTGAACAAGGCTTACATAGTGGCCTGTGACCCTCCCCAGAAAAAGGAATCTCAGCAATTCCGGCTGGTTCCTGTGCACTTGGACAAAATCCTTTAGGTTTCCAGACTGCCTCACTCTTTGGCTGAAGCTGAATTCTCTCTCCAGGCCTCTGCACCACTCCGCCCCTCCTACACTCAGAGCATTCTCTTTCTCTCATCTCTTGCGGCTCTTCCTGGTTCAGCCTCTTCTGGGAGGCTGAAGAGGAACTAAGGCTGACACCTTGGTGGGCTGAGCTCCAGAAGATATGGTCTTTCATCTTTTTGTTGCTGTTTTCCCATAAGCTTACCCCCCACAGGTGATCTGAGCAGGACCAGGGGTCTGGACCCCCTGGTCTATGCCCCTGTACTTCTCTCCCCTGTCCCAGTTTATCATTGCAGCATGACAAGGGAAGGAAACAAATGGAAAAAGGACACGTGAGATTTATGCACAGAGCTGTTCCTGTTCCTAGACTAGAAGTCTTCCCCAGCTCTGACGTGGTAGTGAGGTGACCTGTGTGGAGAGAGGTGGCCAGAGGGAAAGAAGACAAAGAAATACCACTTCATGAAGAGAACTTCATGCTCTTCCTGGTATATCCACATGAATCTTCTAATCCCTTGTGACACACACTTGACAGGGATTACTTGCTTTCTCTATGGATGAGGAAATTGAGATTTCGGAAAGCTTAATTAGTTAAAGAGCTTGTCTAATTGGTTAGTAGCAGAACCGGGACTTGAACTTAGGTCTCCTTATTCTAAACGCAGTGCACTTTCTACTATACCAGTTGGACAAGAAAGGAGAGATCACTGCAGGGACAAGCAGAGAACTAGGTGAGAGTTCACGCATGAAGAAATGTACCCTGAGAGCTCTGAACAGCCAGTCACCCAGTGCTGGCTGCAATAAACGTCATTACCTCTCCAGCCAAGAGACTGTTTTTGAGGTGCCCAGGGATCTTCATTCATTCATTCTCTCTCTCTTTCTCTCTAACTGCGCCACCCTCCCCTGCTCTAGCCCACTGCTCTTTCGACCTGGGCCCTGGGCCTGGCTCTGGCCAGATCCCCTTGGCCTGAAGGCATAAGGTAAAGGGAGTGTCCCAGCTTCAACCCCCTGATCCAGGATCACATTTCCCTTGACCTTAAGGGACTTCCGTGGCTCTGAGCCTACTTGTCACAAACAGGCTGATGAGAGCTGCCAGAGCTTCCTTCCTCCTGATGATATCTCCCCTGCCTCAGTGCTTCCCTGGCTCTCCACCCTGGCAGTCTGCCCAGGCCTGAGGGGTTGAGATGTGAAAATGCCATCTCCTTGTCCCCCTGGTCTGCGGACGCCATTACTCCCTCTCTAGTGAGCAGAGCCGGAGAAGGTCTAGCTTTGTATGGCTAAGTCCTGAAGGCCCCTCCGGCACTGCCTACAGCCCTGACCACCACCCTCCCCTTCTCTCTTTCTTTATCCTAGTCCCAGAGAAACTGCACTATGCCCCACGCCTACCCTACTCCAGACAGTCCTTCTGCCCCTGATGGGGATTCTATTCTACCTATCTCTTCCCACTAACTGTGGTGAACAGAGTCAGAGTAAGCTTTGGAGCCAGTCAGAATTGGATACAAATCCTGGCTCAGTTGTTCCTGGCTATGGGACCTCAAGCAAGAGGCAGGTCTGTTTCCCCATAGCAAAATGGGAGTAATCTTACCTGACAAACAGGATTGCAGGAAGATTTAGAAATGACATTTATGAAGCTCTACTCAGCCCCAGGTACTGTAGCCATTAGATAATGATAACTAGTCAGTGGTGGTAGCAGTAGTAGCAATATCCACCTTTAGAAAACACACACACCAAGGCAAATGTCCCACTCAAGTCTCCAGTTCTATTCTGCTGGAGGAATGTTCATGCACGGGCTGGGGGACAAGCCTGCAAGCAGAGTCCTGCCAGGGCAGCCGGGTTGTTTGAGATGATGAGGGAGAAGGTAGGGAAAAGATGATCAAAAGAAAAGGGAGCAGATCATTGAGCAATTCAAACAGAATGTGGGCCAGTAAGTTGATGAGTTGGCCATCAAAGAGGCTTGAAAGTAGAGGAACACTAAAAACATGTTGTGGCCAAATGCCAAATGACTGAGTGTAAAGATAAGTATTCCCTGGAAACAGAACATTGCCATCATAGAATTGACTTCTGGGATACTCAAATAAATCTGACGTTTTATCCAAAATCAGAATGTGTTTGAAACTCCTGTGGTCACTCTACTATACAATTACCTTCTAAATAGATGATTTTCAACTGAGGTGCATAGAAAAGCAAGATGCTTGGGGACAGCTGATTTTTCTCTTCACTTTATTCTTTTTTCACAACTCTTTATGTTCTTTGTTGGTGATTTTTCTTATGGATATTATGGTTTTAGAGACAATCTCCTCACAAAATTTGAAGTGGATAAAATTATGCCTTTAATGCATCCTCCAGAATAAGAATTTCCAAATAGAACTTTTTCTTGAAAGACTTAACCTAAATAGCACTAAATAACTAAAAGTTTCTAAAGTAATCTGTAGTGATAAAGGTCAGAATAGTTGTAGCCTTGGGGAAGTACTATCTGCAAAGGGGTCTCAGGGAGCCTTCTGAGGATTTGGAAATGTTCTAGCTATGGTCTAGATATTGGTCTAGATATGTTTACTCATTGAACTATATATACACTTAAGACTTAGGCCAGGCGCGGTGGCTCACACCTGTAATCCTAGCACCTGGGAGGCAGATTGCTTGAGCTCAGAAGTTCGAGACCAGCCTAAGCAAGAGCGAGACCCTGTCTCTAATAAAAATAGAAAGAAATTAGGCATGGTGGTGGATGCCTGTAGTCCCAGCCACTTGGGAGCCTGAGGCTCCCAAGCCTGAGGATTGCTTGAGCCCAGGAGTTTGAGGTTGCTGTGAGCTAGGCTGATACCATGGCACTCTAGCCCAGGCAACAGAGTGAGACTCTGTCTCAAAAAAAAAAAAAAGGACTTATGTAATTTGCTGTATATAAGTTATACCTCAATTTTTAAAAATCTTCCAAAAATGTATTATTCTTAAGGATTATTTTATTTACACAATAAATGATAATACAACAATCAATTCTAAAAATAATATGAAATAATTAATCATAGAGGGAATTATAATATAATCTAATTTCTAGTGTTCTGCCTTACACAATTTGCTAAATTAAATAGTACTTGTACCATTTATTAAATTGTTATAAATACTTTGGGCTCAAAAAGTATAGTTGACCCTTGAACAACATGAGGGTTAGGGACACCAACTCCTCGTGCAATCAAAAATCTGATTATAATTTTGACTCCTCCAAAACTTAACTACTAATAGCCTATTGTCGACTGGATAACATAAACAATTGACACATATTTTGTATGTTAAGTGTATTATATACTGTATTCTTACAATAAAGTAAGCTAGAGGAAAGGAAATGTTATTAAGAAAATCATAGAGAAGAGAAAAAATATTTACTTCACTAAGTGGAAGTGTATCATCATAAAGGTCTTCATCCTCATCGTCTTCATATTGAGTAGGCTGAGGAGGAGGAGGAAGAGGAGGGGTTGCTCTTGCTGTATCAGGGGTAACAGAGGTGGGAGAAACTCCCCATATTAAGTGGACCTGCTCAATTCAAACCCATATTATTTGAGGGTCAACTCTAGGTAAGGTTTTTCCTAAAGTTATCTGACTAATACATTCTTTCCTATTATTTTTATTACCTGTCAATTAATTTTCCTATTTTTTAACTATATGAAAATTCTTATTAACTGTTTTATATATAATAAGCCTTCACAACCATTAATTATGGCATTTTTCTTAAAGTATTTTGTATGCATTTGTCTGTCCACTGACTAATAGAATTTCAACATTTTGGGGAGTTCATAAGGCCTGGGCATGGTGTCTCAGGCCTGTAATCCTGGCACTCTGGGAGGCCAAGGCGGGAAGATTGCTTGAGCTCAGGAGTTTGAGACCAGCCTGAGCAAGAACGAGACCCTGTCTCTACTAAAATTAGAAAAAATTATCCAGGTGTGGTGGCACCTGCCTGTAGTCCCAGCTACTCGCAGGAAGATCACTTGAGCCCAGGAGTTTGAGGTTGCTATGAGCTAGGCTGACGCCACAGCACTCTAGCCCAGGGAACAGAGTGAGAGTGTGTGTTAAAAATAAATAGATAAATAAATATAAAAGTTTATAAGGAAAATTTTATTCCAAGTTACATCTAGAATGCTTACCAATGTTTGAAAGTGATCATTCAGATATTAACAATGAATCCAAATGACCTGCCTTATTTTCATTACTGATGCTTTCACTGATTTGACTTGACAGTCACTCGTTCCTTCACATGGTCTTGATCACAGCCAAGTTCAGGGATGCCAGGAATAATGTCGAAATAGACATTTGACTATACAGCCTTCCAAAAGCCAAAGCTGAGGACAAGATGGTAATAATTTAGGCCAAATACCAAAGCTGTCTGAACCATGATGAATTCCTATTTGAAAGTTGAAGAATGGGAAAAGAAGACCAATGAGTTATGAGAGATTTCTGTTGCTGGGTGTGAGAGCTTGGAGAGAAGAGGAGGGTGTCCAGGGGAACACTGCCTAACTCTGTGTAGATGGCTTTAAACATGGACCTAACCAGCAGAAATGGAGTCCAGTAAAGAAAGTCACCCCAAGAACTGGAGCTAGGGAAAGCTGCTTTCCTAGGAGTGAAGTAGATTAGGTAGGAGACTTTTGCAACTGACTCTGGTTCCCAGAAGTCTCCACACACTATAATAAATGAGCCTATGAAGAAGGCCAACAGAGTCAATGTGAAGAAAAAAGTTCTGACCTCCAGGGCATTTCCTCTTCCTACCTACACCCTGCCCTTGAGATCAGAACATTTTGGGCCTCTTCATTGTGTCTAGGGCTCTACAGAATAACCCTACAGCTACAGCACCAAAAAAGGTAGCAGTAGCCACAACATCCAGGGAGCCTTCTCTTTGGGAGAGTCTTGCTCCATTTCATTACATTTCTCCTATACTCCTACACGGCTGGGCTTCCCAAAGTGCTTCAAAAACTTTGGAACCTAATTTTATTTATTTATTTATTTATTTATTTTGAGACAGAGTCTCGCTTTGTTGCCCAGGCTAGAGCGAGTGCCGTGGCATCAGCCTAGCTCACAGCAACCTCAAACCCCTGAGCTCAAGCAATTCTGCTGCCTCAGCCTCCCAAGTGGCTGGGACTACAGGCATGCGCCACCATGCCCGGCTAATTTTTTCTATATATATTATTTGGCCAATTAATTTCTTTCTATTTATAGTAGAGATGGGGTCTCGCTCTTGCTCAGGCTGGTTTCGAACTCCTGACCTTGAGCAATCCGCCCACCTCCCAGAGTGCTAGGATTACAGGCATGAGCCATCACGCCTGGCCTGGAAACTAATTTTAAAGTCCTCCTCCTACCCCGACCCCACAATGGAGGGGCAGAAAGAAGAGCAGTTACAGCTCTTACCAGGATGTTTACCTGTGCAGGACCCCAAAGCCAGTAAGCTTGGGAGCATCCATGGAGCCACAGGGACATGAGAAAGCCCACATTGCTGATGAGACCTTGTAAGAGGTCCACAGTTCACAAGAGGAGAGGTAAGGAAAGCTGTCTGCCCACGATGGAAATACACACTATGATAGAAAGGCCTCTTAACTCAGGGAGGTGGGAGTTTCCTCATCTATGTAAAGGCGCTTACTTCCTTCATAGGCGTATTATGAGGATTAAATGTGACAATACACATAAAGCGCTTAGTACAGTGGCTACCACATAGTGAAAGTTTGAGAGATGTTAGCACTTGTATTTATTACTGTGGTGTCAAATGTTGAGCAGCCAGACCTGTGATAAATAGAGCAGGCCTGACTTCCTTTACAGAAGAACAAAGGATTTAAACAGAGGCCAAACTCCTCCTCATCCTCCTCTTGCCAAAAAGCTCCTAGCCAAGAGTAAATAAGGTAAGGTTCAAGGTCAGATGAAAAGGACAGTATGCATTAATTTCTCTAGATAACATAATTTGAAGGGAGTGGAAGAGTGCTTTCAATCGGAGGAGAAAAAACGCTATCAAGAATTTCTGTTAATACTACTTAAGGGAGGTTTTTCTAATCTCCATCCTCCATGAATCCATAAATCCAAAGATATGAAAATAAGTTGGAGGATTTAGGGCCACTAACTTTTGAGGGTGTCCTCTGTATCCCCTCAAATCTAAAGCCTGCAATTATCACAGCGATTGATGGCTCTAGTGACATTTCCAGCTTCCCCTCCTGAGATATTTAAACTAATCCTTATATAAGCTTATTATCCTTTCATCTCCATCACGGAAATCTCTTATATTTTTCCCACCCTCCAATTCAGCTCCATTTCCTGCTTCATCTTCCATTACTCAAAACCTCCACCAATGCCCATGGCTCGTGTCCAGTGGACTGGGTACAGTGGGAAAACATTATGGTCAGTAGTTTCTCTGGCCTTTGCATAGAAATTTAGTTGAACTTATACATGTAAAACATAAACTGACCCTGGTGTGAATGAGTACGGATTCCTGCTTGTGCCATGGCATTTAGCACAAGATGAACCTTCACATTTGCATGACTTTAGGGCTCTTTCAGTAGATAGTCATAAAATTATAATGCTGCAGGACTTCTTGTCCAATGATCTCAGATATCATCTAGTCCTGCCTTCTTCATTTTGCAAATAAGAAAAATAAGACCCAGAGGACTTAAACACTTTGCCCAAGACCACATGGCTAGTTTAGACAAGAATTCAGGTTTTTAAAAAATGAGTCCAGTCATGTTTCCAAATTAGCACTCCAATTAATTGTTCCAAATTGATCTCAGATATTTTTCAAGGTCAAATTCACCATACATAAACTGGCAAATCAATCTGCAAATGGACAGGCTCCTGGATTTGAGACAAAAGCATGTTCGTCCAAAAGAGTGTTTAGTGCACACGATCTTGACACATTTGCATTTCTGACATTCATCTGAATGCACATATTGTATCAGGAGATAGAGAAAAAAAATAGTACCCAGGAACTTGATGGTAAACTAGTCAAGCATGTCCCTGGCTATGCCAAGGGAAATGGCTGTTGGAAACATAAATAAGGACAGGCATCGAGAAAAAAAGTCCTTGACTTCCCATCTATTTGGGACCAGGGTGAAAACATTACAGAGATCCTTTGGTGGAGCTCCAGGTGGGCCCGACACATTCCAAAGCATCTGTCATTAGCAAAGGTGACCATTCTTTACCTTCAAAGTTGGCACATCCAGAAATGGATCTTTATGACCAACTAGAGCCTACAGAGCAGTGCTTCCCAGACTTTCCCCTGAAGTGCTAGTAACTGCAGAAGAGAATTAATTATAATAAAACACCCAAAGTAGTGGAGCTTGAGCTTTCTCTGACGTCTCCTTCTTTCACTTAACTAATATTTATAAAATACCCATGTGTATGGATGTTTTTATATGCTATCTTAAAATTTCATTTTTGGGCCGGGCCCGGTGGCTCACGCCTGTAATCCTAGCTCTCTGGGAGGCTGAGGCGGGCGGATTGCTCAAGGTCAGGAGTTCGAAACCAGCCTGAGCAAGAGCGAGACCCCGTCTCTACTATAAACAGAAAGAAATTAATTGGCCAACTAATATATAGAGAAAAAATTAGCCGGGCATGGTGGCGCATGCCTGTAGTCCCAGCTACTTGGGAGGCTGAGGCAGGAGGATCGCTTGAGCCCAGGAGTTTGAGGTTGCTGTGAGCTAGGCTGACACCACGGCACTCTAGCCTGGGCAACAAGTGAGACTCTGTCTCAAAAAAAAAAAAAAAAAAAAATTTCATATTTGGTAATGACAGATCAATGTTAATTTCCTGGTTTTGATGGCTGTACTCTGGCTATGTAGGCAAGGATACTTGTAATTAGGAAATTGTCACTGAAGTACTAGGGAGTGATGAGCAGCATATCTGTAACTTGTTTCCAAATAGTTCAACAATGTTAACAATTGGGAATACTGGGTGAAGCAGATAGGGGAGCTCTGTGTACTATTTCTGAAACTTTTATGTAATTTTGAAATTATTTCAAAGTAAAAATATTTTAAGTTATTTTAAAAAAATTTCCCCATCATACAATTTTATTTTCTGTAAAAATAATGCCTTAAATGAATCCATCACCATGCCCCAAAACATAGTTTTATTAAAATTGGGAAAGAAGATATTTATCTTGTGACTTTGAGCACCCCTTGCACACATCTGCATACTGCTTGGGGTAGGAGTATACTGGCCTTAACTTGCTCTCTGTGGGTTCCTATCTCTGACCAGTGTTTCTCTTCAGGAACTAGGTGAGGAAGGTAGGATAGTCATGAAGCCAGGGCAGTAGGAAGGTCCTTACATGCTGAAAAATGAGAAAATCAACACAGAGCACTTGGAACAGTGGCTGGGACACAGAAAACCCTTAGTAAACATTAGCTATGATTGTTTTTGTCATCCCTGGGAGGTCTGAAGACTGCACGCAGGCTTGTTGTGGTAAGTGAAACGTCATGTGAGGGGAGCCACATGCCTCAGCTCTGGCTGGGTTGAAGACTGCATCCTCTCCCTCGGGAGGACAAATCCGGGAGTCAGGAACAAAGGGAGACAGTCCGCCCACAGAGGCAAGATCATGGTGCCAATGGGCAGGCACCCTAAGCCCCAAAACCATTTGTTGGGAATGTTATAAAGAATATACCTCTGGTCAGTGCAAGAGACAGGATTCGATGAACTCTGAAGTACCTTCCAATTTCGGTATTCTATGAAACTTTGTCCATGTAAAGTTGGTAAGGTGCTTTTCCACAAGATCATGCAGCTAATTAATGACAGAAGTGAGGTGAAAATTTGGGGCTAATAATGTGTAATTTGGGGAGATTGGCTATTTTTGTATATAAAAACATACACAAAGCACAATGCCTTGGCGCATGAAGCACTTTTAAAATGATAATGATTATTTTCAACAAAGCAGCTAGCACTGCACCAAGCACATATTTATTAGACGTTCATTAAATAGTGGTTGGTAGCACCCCTTTCTTCCTGTTGATGTTGTACAGTCCTGTACTAACCAGAACCTTAAGTAATGTGGTGTATGTTATCCTGGCTGCCTTTAGTAAAATAGTTAATATTACACTCTATACCATACTTACTCCTAGGCATTTTAACATTCACCACACCTTATGAAATATGTAAAATATATATTCCTAATATAATATCATTTTTGCAGAAATGTGTCTGAAAGTATTTTTAAAGGTTTACATTTGAAATTATTTGACTGCAAGTAAGTTGTGATTGGCAGTGCTTCTTCTGCAATCATTGTACTTGGGAATTCCTGTAAAATGAGAAAGTCTAACTTAAGATTGTTTTCCAATGTAATGAACCTTTTATGTGTGCCAAATTTCAAAATAAATGAAATCAACTCTATGTCACTTTGGTAGCAAGTAAGTGCTTTTTTTTTTTTAAAGACAGGGTCTTGCTCTGTCACCCAAGCTAGAGTGCAGTGGTGCGATCATAGTTCACTGTAACCTCAAACGCCTGGGCTCAAGCAATCCTCCTGCCTCAGCCTCCCAAAGCACTAGGATTGTAGGTGTGAGCCACTGTGTCCAGCCAGCAAATATTTTTAATTTGATTCTGCATTTGACTTTTCCTGTATTAGAGCCAGTATTTTTTTTTTTTTTTTTTTAGTCTCAAATAGGCCCTTGAAAACTTCCCAGGCCCTAGGCACTGAGCCGCTAGTGCTTAATGGATAAAACAGCCCTGAGAGTGTGGCAGTTGGGAAAACTTATGATGAATTACTAGGATCAAAATACACAATGAAAGGAACCCCTTCCCCAGGCTTCCTTGAATGAGGCTGGCCAGCTGCAGGGCCAGTACCTACTTGAGGGAAAGCATGTTTGCAACTTAATTGGATTCAGAGATTGCAAAGTCTCTGGTCAGTCAGTAGGAAATGCCCAGGCCAGCCCTGGGCTCCTGCTGCCATCCCCACTCTCTCACTTTAAAGCCTTGCAGCTTGGGGTCTGCCACTGTTAATGAATAATCACTTGGCAATCCTTCCATCCCAATGGGAGAAGGAAGCTCAGTCAAGGGCCTCAAGAGAGAAATGACTTCCTGGGGAGAAAAAAAAAAAAAGATTTGATCCCTGCTGCCCAGGTTAACAGCTTGCTGGGTAATGTTTGCCTGGGTTCAGAAAGCAATGTTTTGTTTGCTTTGTGGGGAGGAGTGCATGCAGGGATCCCCACTGCAGAAAGGGTGTGTTCTGTTGGTGATAAGGCTCCACCTCAGGACAGAGGGACAAACATTTCAGAAGTTTTACTTTCAGAAATGCAGATACTAGGAGCCTCCGTGATTTTTGCCACTTTAGGGAGCATTTTATCTCAAAGACAGAGAAGTCACACAAATCCCAGAGGTTGAGATGCTGGGTAGGGTCCAACACACCAACCCAGATCTGAGAAACTGCAGTTCAGAGCAAGTTCCCCCAACTGCAGTCATTTGCTTTATTACTTTACAATTTTTGTAATATCTTCTTACCACCAGTATTATAATTTGCTAAATATATATTTACTCATTTAATTGCAATAGTTATTTGAAAATGAAACTGTGTAATGCCATCTTTCAAAGAATACTAGCGTTAATAAATAGAATTTAAAAATAAACACAATGAATGCCATCTAATTGTTAAAAATTGTATCCATGGAAGGCCGAGGCGGGCGGATTGCTCGAGGTCAGGAGTTTGACAAGAGTGAGACCTCGTCTCTACTAAAAATAGGAAGAAATTAATTGGCCAACTAATATATATAGAAAAAATTAGGCGGGCATGGTGGCGCGTGCCTGTAGTCCCAGCTACTCGGGAGGCTGAGGCAGGAGAATCGCTTGAGCCCAGGAGTAGCCTGGGCAATAATGCGAGACTCTGTCTCAAAAAAAAAAATTGTATCCAGATATTGTTTTCAGCTGAAGACTCAGCTGAGTCTTCAGTCTCAAGCCTGTTGTCTGAAGCCTGTTATCTCTACTGAAAAGGAGGAGAAACAAACATTAGAGAGAATAAAAGAATTTACCTTCTTGCTTTAAGAGGAAACTTTCTCCTAAATGTTATCAGAAGGGTTAGAAGAGAATTACTTAAGGCAACGTTCATGTACCACCTAAACCACAAATAGCGACACACTCCCTGTGCTCTGCCTCTATGGGACACTTTTTCTTCTCCGGTTGGCAGGAGCCAAAAGGGATGAGTTGAAAGTCAGGAAACTCTTAACCCCAGCTCTGCCTCTCACTCAGTAGCCTTGGGAAGGGCACTTGCCCTTCCAGCGACTTGAGCTCTTTCATCTGTAAAATGAGGGCGTCAACAGAGATGATCTCTCAGGTCTCTCCCAGCTCTGACCCTCTATCATTCCAAGACCCTCTTCTGCAGGGCAAAATGTCAGGCTCTGTGGAAAGACCCCAACTCCCCACGCTGCTTTGCCAGCTGGAGCAGCGATTCCCTTACTTGGAGCAACTGTTTTTCCTAACTTCAGTGAGAAACTCCATTCTCTGAACCAGAGAATGGAAAGGAATTAGTTTGACTCCACAACCTTAATGTCAACTCTTTCAGGAACATCTAAGCTAGCCTAGGTGAGTGGGGTATGGACCCTTGGAATATTTTTCTTCAAAGTTCAGTTTCTTTTTTTGTGAGACCACCTCAGAATTTCCAAAAAGACATGAGCGTGTGGAAAGAATAGGAGTTTTGGAAGCAGAGATGTCTTAAAAACGGGGAATTTTCTTGGCTTTCCTGAGTCTCACTTTGGTCATATATATATAATCATACCCTATCACTACTGGAAAAGATAAGCAATGTAAGCATTTATTGGAGGCATAAAAAGGCATACTATTTGCTGGGACTGAACAATAGACTGCCAGTGGTGTTCTTAAATATCTTGGACTGCAGATTGCCCTTAACAACTGACTGAGGGCATGAAATTCTTAGAAGGACTAGGGCTCCCCCATGATGACCTATTCACCCACCTACTCTTCCTCTCTGTTCCACTGTTCCCCCTTAGGTGAGATGGCACCAGCCAAGACAGAGTTCCAGTCCCTGCTGCTGCTCCTGCTGCTGGGGCTGTGGGTGGCCAACACCCCAGTCAGTGCCAAGCCCAGACACATGACTTCATCTCAGTGGTTTCAAACTCAGCATGTGCAGCCCAGCCCTCAAGGATGCAACTCAGCAATGCGCCACATCAACAAGTACACAAAACATTGCAAAAATCTCAACACCTTCCTGCATGAATCCTTCTCTGGTGTGGTGGCCACCTGCCAGAGCCCCAATATAGCTTGCAAGAATGGCCATGAAAACTGCCACAAGAGCCAAGAGCCTGTGTCCCTAACCAGCTGTGAGCATACCTCGGGGAAGTACCCAGACTGCAGGTACAAAGAGAGACAAATGGATGCATTCTTCATTGTGGCCTGTGACCCCCCACAACAGGAGGATAATGTGGGGTACCCACTGGTTCCCGTGCACTTGGATGATGTTGTCTAAGGCCTGATGCTCATCCCACCTCACCCCCAAGCTCTGTAGACTCTATGTTGCTGCTGCATTTCCTCCCTTGAGTTATTGATTAATCTTTACCCGCTTTGCAAATGCCATTTCCCTCCCACATGTCCAACCTCACATGCTCTTGATTTCGTAGGTGGTTTTATGGATGCTCCAAATGATGAGGGAAGAGGGGACATTCTCTTTAGCCTGTCGGTGCTGCTTACTTTGCATACTCAATGTCTGCTACTCTGTGCCCCTTCCAGAGTCAAGCACTCAGGATCTCAGGATTTTTGATCCAGATTTTTGGGGGCTTATGGCTTGGAGGCCCTTTTTAAAAAAAAGAATAAAAAATTATAATACAAATGCAAAGAAATTCAGGGCCTTGGAAGGGCTGTGGTTAGACAGTTCAGAGGGATCCCAGGCCGGGGTGATTATCTAAGAAGGGAGGGCAGGAGAATCTATGCGGGGTTCCCTGTGTTGGGTAAAGGAATATGTCTGATTTTGCTGTAATGAAAGACTCTGCTGTTCCTGGAGTGTGTGTTCCTGTCTAGGGGTAACTAAGGAAATCTGGAGCTCCCATTCAGAGGTCCAGAAGTACCTTCTGAGCCCTATCAGGCATCAGCTTCACCTGCCCTGCAGGCTGGAGGGAGGGCAGCGCCCTGGGCTGGTGCAGTCTTAGAAGCCTTGATCCTGTTATCCACTCCCGGGATGGGTGTTTGGTGGCCCCATCTCACACAAAGGGAGAAAGACGAGGAAGAGCAGGCTAAGCCTCAGGATGCCAGTCAGACCTGGGTCCTGACCTCCTCAATTGTGCTCAAGACCCAAGTTCACACTTCATCAACAGGACCCAGAGCAGGAGCCTCAGCCTTCTGAAGTGAATCTCTCTCTTGGGGATGTGTAAATCAGGACCTACCTACCAAGAATCTTGATCTGATCTTAATTAGTGCTTCTCTAACTGTGGTAAAGGAGAAGTTTTATATGCAATCTGCCATAGACTCATACTTTCATAAAATACAATAAGCTGGGCCAGGCACAGTGGTTCATGCCTGTAACCCTAGCTCTCTGGGACACTGACGTGGGAGGATCGCTTGAGGTCAGGAGTTTGAGACCAGCCTGAGCAAGAGCAAGACCCCGTCTCTACTAAAAATAGAAAGAAATTAGTGGAACTAAAAACATATAGAAAAAAATTAGCCAGGCATGGGCGCATGCCTGTAGTCCCAGCAACTCAGAAGGCTGAAGCAGGAGGATACCTTGAGCCCAGGAGTTTGAGGTTGCTTTGAGCTAGGCTGATGCCACAGCATTCTAGCCCGGGCAACAGAGCAAGACTCTGTCTCAACAAAAACAAAATAATACAACACAATAAGAATTACTATAAAATGAAATAGAACATATAGATATAGATATAGCAAGTATAAGCCCAATTTTTTTATCACTAAATTCAATTAACATAAAATCATTCTGTCAAAGTGCCATAAAGTTTTTTAATGCTTCCTCTCAATTTCAATACTTATCTTGATAGATATTCACACAGAGAAAAATATACACATATTATATACATATGTACACACACATACATAAGACATACATACATGCACACCCATGTTCATATACATACACAAGGATACACACCTACACATGTGCACCTGTGTGGACAACACACACACATACACATATACTCACACTCAACAATAAGACACTCCCTCTTTTCCCTCTACCATCTCTGCTTCCTCCTCACACCTCTCATCCCATATTTGGACAGAGATTTTACCACACAGATTAAGATTCAGAATAAGGAAAGGATGTTTGGTGAAACATGAAGTGGCAGAGAAAACAGAGAATCCAGAAATTCCCACTCCCAGCCCTCCTCCCTGCCTTCTAAAACCAGAGCTCATTGCAGCCTACCACACCCACACCATCCACAGCAAATGGAGTTTCCCCCACAGCACCCAGGGCCCTCCACACCACGCTCTGCCCATCATTACCGCTGTTTCCCACCCATGTGCTTATGACCAGAAAAGACATACTGGAAGTCAGAGAGAAACAACATTCTCCTACCCCTCTGGCTTCTTCCCAGTGTCGTGGGCAGACTCCACTTCCTGTGGTTGCACCTTAAATGATAGTGTTTCTCAGGGTCCTATTCTGAGCTCTGTTTTCTTCTCTTGAGTGACTTGATACATTTCCACGGCTCCAACCACCACTTACCTGCTCCCAAAGGTATACCTCCAATCCACAGCTCCCGACGTCCAGGCACACATGTCCATCTCCCTACTGTCGCTAGCCCCCTCTGTGTCCCACAGGCATTTCAATCAAAAACACTCAGAACTAAGCTCATGATCTGCCTGGCTTCCAGACTTCCCTCCTCCTGCAATCTCTCTTAGTTAATGGAAACATCATACCCAATCAATCAAGGTCCTAATCTAAGAGACATCTGTGTCAACTCATACTTGTTTGTTTATTTCTCCAGTTATTACCCACCTTATCCCAGTACTGCCTCAAGAGGGCACAAAAGTTCTTGGGTTTTCTTTTATTTTCTTTTTTTCCAAATAGCACTGGGTTCCTAACATACAATATGGCCTTGGAGGGGGCTGTAATTTGGAGCTAGGCAAGCACACCTAGGTTGGCGCGATCACGGATTCACTAACTTGTTTAGGAGGCAAGGTTAAATAATACATATGGAACTGTCAAGCAATAAGACAGAAGTGAAGAATACATCAAATATATTCTGTAATATTTTTCTCCCACCTCCCCTAAGGGTTCCATTCTTCCTGACCTAAAGTTCATCCTCTGTTTAATGTTAATCTTCCTGTTGCAAATCTCTTTCTGGCCTAATATCAGGTTTTAACTAGAGTCAGACAACATCAGGAGAAATTCAACCATTCAATATCTGTCAGAGCTGTGACCCCAGAAGCTGGGAATAATGTGGAAAGAATACAGAATAGAATGAACCCTTCTATTCTGTAGAAGTAGATTAATTATATCCAAACAAGTGGTGTAGCAACCCAGGTAGGAGTTTCTGACTTCCGTGTGTAGGCTGAAGAATTAGATGGAGTGTAACTTGAACCTAAGGGTCATGGGCTATAAAACTGGCCAATTCAGAGAGTAATGACACAGCAGCCATAGAACAGGGCTCAGAGGGGCAGCCAGGGCCAGAGAACAGCTGCCCAAAAGGCTGGGACAAAATCTCTAATAGATATGCTCTCTGGGCCACTGAAAACGTGTTTCAAAAAAACTAACCTGGGAAGGGGCTCCCCAGCCATTTGGGACAACATAATTCCTTCCTGGTGGGTAAGTATATTTTAATGTCTAGAAATTTTAGAATTAAGAATAGAAATATTTCAAAGAATCAAAAACACAGACAGAATTAATATGTTTAAGAAACCTGTATTAGACTTGTAATTCTAATTTAAGATGTGCATGATTTGAATCGGAACTCTCCTTTAAAATTAGTTTTGGAACATTTAAGAAAACATAGGAATTGAATTATCCTACTTATAAATTTTTAGATTTATAAGGGTTTTTAGGTATTCAGGAATGTTTTGTTGGTTATCTGAGATGACCAAATTACTTTATAGGGACATGGAATATATTAAATTTATAATATATATTTTTTAATGGTTAAAGAGTTCCATTAGCTCTTTATAAATGGGACCAAATAATCAACAAATACAATCTTTTAAAGGGATTATTAGAATTTATTTTTCTGTAAAAGTTGAAGGAAGAACTGGGCTTCTGATTTGCAACTTTAACATAGGGAACATACATTTTATTTTATTTATTTATTTTTTTTAAGAAACGGGGTCTTACTCTGTCACCTAGGCTGGAGTGCAGTGGCCTGATCATAAGTCACTGTTACCTTGAATTCCTGGGCTCAAGCAATCCTCCTGCCTCAGCTTCCTGAGTAATTAGGACTATAGGTGCGTGCTACCATGTCAAGCTAAGTTTTCTATTTTTTGTAGACATGGGGTCTCACTATGTTGCCCAGGCTGATCTCAAACTCCTGGCCTCGAGTGATTCTCTCACATTGGCCTCCCAAAGTACTGGGATTACAGATGTGAGCCATTGCACCCAGCCTGGAACATAAATTTTTAAAAGGCAAGTGGCCCTCTGAATATTCTTTGCTAAGCACAAAGAAACATTTTTAAAAACTCACACTGGCAATGTAAGACTAGTCCATTTTCTGTGATATTTTCATCTACACTGCACAATGGGCTTTGGTGATTATATTTTCTGGTGTTCACATGTTTGTTGATTTTACTGGACCTTTTAGCAGAGGGATGATGCAGTAGCCAAGGCTCAGGCTCACGGGCACGCAGATGGCAGTGTTGCCACCAGAATTGAACCTGGACCTCTATCTCTCCTCAGCATTCCTCTCCCTCTGCACTGTGCTGCCTCCAGTGAGTTATTCTTCTTAATTGGGGAGGGTCTCCCACTGCATTCTGGACAAACGGAGAAAGGGGAGCATGGCTTCCCTGTGTGTGGTGGTGGGCAGGGGATTTCAGCAAAATATACTCTAAGAGAAAGTAAAACTCCGAGACCATACTGGGGTCTCCATCCTTAACAGGGACTTTTCCTCCTTGGCTAAACTTGGAGTTTTGAGATTACATTTTACCAAGTAAAGTGGCTTTAAAAAAAAAAAGGCACTTAAAAAAAAACAGATTAAGCAACCAGTTCCTTCAATAAATCAGAGTGCTTGCCTGGAAGTGAGGCGTGTGTGTGTGTGTGTGTGTGTGTGTGTGTGTGTGTGCATAAACACACATGCGCTCATGGTGAGGAGGTGAAGTTATTTTAATGGAACTAGGAGTGCTATATTCCACCAATTACAGACTCTTTGGGGTTCCAAACTCCTCATTTGAAGTGCAAATATCCTTTGGCAAAAATAAAACAAGATCACGTAATGATGGAATCAATCACTTTGGTGCTGAGTAAGGCTTGGGAACATTTGGAGGCATGGCACAGCATATAGGAGGTTTCATACTGGGGGTCTTATGAGTAGGTTAAACATGGGCAGAGACCTGGAGGTAAACAATGAGCACAGAAAAAGAGATATCAAGGAATTGGAGTCAAACTTTTACCCACCTGCTTGGCAGTTCTAAAGACTGGTGGAAGGGGGTGACTACATGCTGTTGTAATTCCCAGATTGCCTGCTCCAAGAGACTCTGACTCTACTGGGAGTCTGCCAATTGAGGGCTTGGGGCCACAGTTAGATATAACTGGCACAGGTTCTGTCTTCATGAATATTCATTTAACGAAATTTGTATTTTGTTAAGGACTGAGGCTGGGAAAATATACAGATCACAAATCTGGAAAGTTTATAAAACAATTTCTTTAAAAACTCTCATTATGCTTAAAATTTTTCAGTGAGGAAGAATTTACTGCCTACAGAAACAGCTTGTCCCATTTTCAGGCAGCTCTAAATATTTAAAACTCCCTTACATAGAACCTAATCTTCTTCTACAATTCACTGATGCCCTACCACTTTGAGCCTTTCAGAACCAGTCCAATTCCTCTTCACAATCAACTTTTTAAATATTTTAAGAGAGTTTCATGATCTCTGCCCTCCAAATATTGCCTCATCTGGCAATAACAAAAGCTCTAAAATGGTTGCTGTTGTTTGACTCAACGATTCCATTTTGTAAAATATACCAAATGGGGATAACTCAAAGTGGAGAGGAGTAAATATGTAAAAATCTGTTTATACCTTTTCTTCATATAGCAGAGAAAAGTTAAAAATAAAACAAATTCCCTGAAATTAAGAGTAACTAAACGAATGATGGACAACTCTTGATACTTTAACTGAAGACAACATACACAAAAATTATATTCATGCATGGAAATGTATACAGGCAATGCTACATGAAGAAAACAGAACATAAAACTATATTTTCAAATAGATTACAACTATATAAATCAGTTTCTGGATTTGTACATCAACAAAGTCCATAAGTGAACTTGGAGCCTTTCCAGAAGGTCCCTCTCCAAACCATGCTTCCTCCAGCCTCTCCCAGTACAATGAACCTACATCTGATCCATATGATGCTCCATGTTTGGT